AAAAAAAAAAAAAAAAAAAAAAAAAAAAAAAAAAAAAAAAAAAAAAAAGTTTGTTTAACGACAAATGTGACCCGATAACAGGCGAATCCGCCGCAGTTCGATCGAGCGGAGGACCTGTCGCAGCTGCGCTTCCTCAACGAGTCGTCGGTGCTGCACACCCTGAGGCAACGCTACGCGAGCAATCTCATTCACACTTACGCCGGCGACAGTATGGTCGTCATCAATCCCGCGGCGCCCTTGGCCATTTACTCGGAGAAGGTGAGCGGACCTTTTTCTCGTACTCCGCACGCTCGATCATTGGAATCAAAGACTCGGGGGAGGAAAAAAAAAAAAAAAAAAAATGTAATGAAAAAACCAATGTTTTGCTTGAAAAAGTTTTTTCGATTTATTTTCATAAATACTCAAATAAAAGAGAGAATCTTAATTTATTAGCAGTCTTAACCACTATACAGTACACACAATATGTACTCCATATAAAATCTTGAATTAATATTGATTTATATAAGAACCATTAAAAATGATGGTTTACGTGTGAATGTACACGGTAAATAGACAGGCCCTTTTGTCGCATGCTCACTGCAAACGAAAATTACAAATTGTGGGGGGAAAAAATAAACTAAATCTAACTGTAGAGATCATCATCGCCTTCGTCTTGGAAAGGCTGGTCTCCTTGTGTTGTATCTTGAGCACCACCTGGTCCACTTTGAGGGAATCTGATAAGAAAAAAAACTCAAGCTAGTTATGTCATTCTTACAATCAGTTTTGAAAAATCTTAAATTTTGAATTTAACGTTCACCTGAAGTTTGTGCCAAATCCTCGCGACTGTTGCAAAGTCTGAGCAAACATTTCGTATTTACGGATATCGTTGTCCGAGACCGAACGTCTTGCGAACCTCATAGCTTCTTCAAAGTGAGCTCGAGTAATTTGTGGAACGGGGTCTTCTTCATCCGTCTGAAAAGAAACATTGTCATCACATTTAAATATTGCACACAAGTGCCTTTCACTCTTTTAAAAACTTAAAAATAATACTCACATCCATGGTAGCGCCAGGATTGGCAGCTCGTTCTTTTTCTCTTCTTATTTCAATTTCAATGGATTGCCTGATTGCCAACTTACAGGCACGCTGACAAATTTCTGTGATATCAGCTCCCGAAAATCCATGCGTCACCTTGGCAATGTAAGTCAAATCAACGTCTTTAGCAGTGGGCGACCTACGCAAGTTAGCTTTAAAGATGGACTCCCGAGACTTTTCATCGGGCAGTGGTATGTAGATCAGCTGATCCAAGCGACCAGGTCGAAGGATAGCAGGATCAATGATGTCGGGTCGATTCGTGGCTCCAATGATAAACACATTTTTTTTGGCTCCCATACCGTCCATCTCTGTAAGTATTTGGTTGATGACACGGTCAGCCGCGCCACCAGCATCACCTACGGAACCTCCACGCGACTTTGCGATCGAGTCCAACTCGTCGAAAAAGAGGACGCAAGGCGCCGCTGATCTTGCTTTATCGAACACGTCACGCACATTGGCCTCGGACTCACCGAACCACATGGTCAATAGCTCCGGACCTTTGACGGATATAAAGTTTGCCTGGCACTCGTTGGCAATGGCTTTGGCTAACAAAGTCTTACCACAACCAGGTGGCCCATAGAACAGAACACCACGAGACGGTTGCATACCGAACTTGAGGAACTTGTCTGGATGTTCGACCGGATATTGTACCAGCTCTTGCAGTTCTTGCTTGACGTTCTGCAAGCCTCCAATGTCTTCCCAGGTGACAGTAGGAACTTCGACAATAGTTTCACGAAGAGCACTTGGACTACTTTTGCTCATGGCGTACTTGAAGTTGTCCATAGTCACGGCAAGAGACATCAGTACTTCGGCATCTATCTGATCGTCCTCAAGATCAATTAAATCCATCTTTTCTCTAATCTGTTGTAATGCTGCTTCTGAGCACAGGGATGCCAAGTCAGCACCAACATGACCGTGAGTTTCAGCTGCGATCTAAGAACAGAATGTATGATAAACATCGAACGGTTCTTGCACAACAAAAAACCAGTTATATATTACCATACACAATTATTGTGATTATTACCTCCTCCAATTCGACGTCGTCAGCAAGTCTCATGTTCTTCGTGTGAATACGGAGAATTTCCAAGCGGCCAGTGGCATCTGGGATACCGATATCAATTTCACGATCAAAACGTCCAAAACGTCGAAGAGCGCCATCAATGCTGTTTGGGCGGTTTGTCGCGGCCATCACGATTACGTGGGAGCTCTGCTTCATGCCGTCCATGAGTGTCAGCAACTGCGACACAATACGTCTCTCGACTTCACCATGGGTTTTTTCTCTTTTGGGAGCAATAGCATCAAGCTCGTCAATGAAAATGATGGCTGGAGAATTCTTGTCGGCTTCCTCAAAGGCCTTGCGCAGATTACTCTCAGATTCTCCGGCAAGTTTGCTCATGATTTCGGGACCATTGATCAAAAAGAAGAATGCGCCAGTTTCGTTGGCAACAGCGCGAGCAATAAGGGTTTTTCCAGTTCCCGGAGGTCCATACAAGAGAATACCACGGGGTGGCTTTACGCCAATGGCTTTGAACAAAGATGGGTGCCTGAGGGGCAGTTCAACCATCTCTTTGATCTGAGCCAGTTGTTTGCGTACACCACCAATGTCGTCGTAACCAACGGCATTCAACGCTTCGTCCTCTTCCTAAAAATTATGATGTATATTTAAAAAGGGCTTCTCATCGAAATAATGAAAATTAAATATTTGTAAGTCGACTTACCTCTCTTTTGACTGGATCACCTTCGAAGTGAATCACAGTTTCTGGAGCTACAATACAGTAAGGTCCTGGATCGGTCTCGACAACTTTAAATTCTACTGCACGCATACCGCCACGCACAATGAATGTATCATCCTTGTGAATTGGACGATAAGCTTCCAAGAAGTATGGTTTTAGATACACTTCAAACAGATTGCTAAGAAAAGTATATAGTATTAAACAGAGGTTCGTATTACATTAAACAGGACACGAGTAAATAAAGATAAGTACCCTGTGAGACCTTCGATAGTATCATCGATTGGCAACACATGAATACGCTTGCCATATTTTATGTCAGGACAAGATTGCACGGACACAACATCGGAGAGTCTGACTCTAAGGTTGTTCCTGACAACTCTGTTCATGTGAATTTTTTCATCTTGACAGTTTTCGTCCGAGAGAACAATGCAGACTGTCTCCTTGCGACGCTTACCCTTCAACAGGACTGTATCACCTCGGAAAAGCTGCAGCTCGTCCATCTTGGCCTGAGACAGGGCAACAACCGAGTTGTCATCGTTGGACGCTTCTTCAACGAGCAGCCTATTGGGCTTATCCTTCTTGCGCAGTATAGCCGTAGCTAAACTGTCTCCACTGTGGAAACATTGAAATACAGTTTTTAAAAACAAAAAATCGGCCTTTGGTAATTAAAGTCTAAATATTATAAGATTTATTGGCTCTAGGTCAAGGGTTTCATTTTTCCCTTTCCTACATATAAAAAGCTTCATAAAAAAAGGACACGGAGTAATTATTTGATTTGAAGCGGATGTAATAAATACTAAATTTTCTTGACGTGTAGAACACTCGAGTATCATCCTAAATTTTGTTGATGAAACTCTGTATTCCCAAGTATTTGAAAATCATCCTAATATACCCTAGACAAACTTCTTTCCAAAGAAAAGATGCAATCCGTAAATATTTAATTTACGGGAAAAAAGGGGTTTTTATTGGATTGTAGCGTTTCATTCGGCCATGATCATACATCTTGCATGTACCCCTTACAAAGCGTACGTATACAAAAGAAACGATGACGGGGCGCTCGGTCGTATGCGTTAACCAAATAAGTATACGTGGATTAAACAAAAAAATTCATCAACTCCCGGCTCTAGTCAACGCGCAATTTCTTGGAAAGTAATACAACTAAGTCGATAAGATGATGGGGGATTCCTTTCTTTGTTTGGAAAAAAGCGAGCACACAAGTAGACCAAAACAAGCAGTTACAAGCTTTACCCGTCGACACGATGACACGGTAAAATTGTTGGCAAGAGTATAGGTTAGTACGGCAATAAATAGGAGTCGTGTCCCAACTAGATTCGCTGTCCGCGACGAAACACAATTGCTTGGGTGTTTTGTAACAAAAATATGGATAAAAGAAAATGAAAAACAAAAAAAACTTACCTTTTGGGATCGCTCATACTTTTCGCGATATTATATCGCTCTTGAAGATGAATAAGAAGCAAAAATTACGAGCACTTTTGTATTTCCTCTCTCTCGAGATTCGAGATGAAGAGTCCGTCCGAAACTCGGAAGTGATCTGAACAATTGAGACTCGATGCCTGTAACCTATAAGTATATGCTGGCTGTTCAAAGAAAGGGGAAGAGAATTATTTGTATATGCATATGTGCACTACTACAGATTACAGTAGATTACAATTACAGGATGCACCTGAAAAAGATTGCTCCGAAATAACTATGTACTTACTCTTGCTCAACGCTCACGGCCTACTAACTGCTGCTTACTGAGTCATTCTTTATATATGTGCTCTCGCTCGGACTGTCGAGTGTTCTACAGTTCTACTGTAGGTAAAACGCTGAAACGGGAAATTCAAATTCGACTTTCAATCTGTTTTGACACACATGGTTGTAGATTTATTGCACGTAGTAAAATTTGATAAAAAATCATTTTTTTTTTTTTTAATAATTTTGCGCCGTTATATTGTTTTTTTACAATTGATTTTTCAATTTTTCCAGCTATCCTCGATGTAACCGGTGAGCACGACGTGGGTAAAATAAAATCTTCACAAAGATGATTCGGAACCCGGATCCCTTTTGTTTATCGTTGAAAGGAAAATAAAACAAGGCACTCGAATCAAACCGTCATTTAATCCTGATTACGTCGAATATTGTAACAAGTTGTATATAATTACAACGACCTGTTGGAGTTTTCGTTGTCATAGCAATAGTGCACGACCAACACGGACGATATTCCAAAGATCCCCCAACTGGTAGAAAAAGTATGTCACAAAGTGGCATTTCCTCCGTCAAGTGAGCAAAGTAAGCACATTCCCGTTGGTAAAAAAAAATGGTAAGTTCATGTAGGAAGCGACATTATTATTAAAAGAGAAAAAAAAAAGGCAAAATATCATAGTGATTTGTGATTGAAAAAGATCCTATCACGAGCAAAACCGGCTTCCGGCGGCGACTCCAGCAGCCACGCGCGAAAATCCGTGACCAACCGGGGCCGGGAGGTCCCGTCGCTCGAGGAGTTCCTGGGCCGGCGCGACTACACGGGCGCCCTGACCCTCCTCGAGTTCAGTGCCGAAGACAACGGCTCGACCGCTCCCCCGGTGTCGCTGCCAGCAGCCAGCTGGGACGAAGTCCAGACCTGGATCGCCTACTGCGCCTTTCACCTCGGCGACTACCGCAAGGCCGCCGACGTTTACGAGAAGCTGAACAAGCTCGAGGTCGCGGCCTACCTCGCCTGCTGCTACTTCTACCTCGGCATGTACCCCGAGGCCCGGAACACCCTGGCCCAGGCACCCGACAGTGCCCTCAAGACCCGGCTGTTGCTGCATCTCGCCTTCAAACTCGAGGATAAGGTATACATAATGTTGTACCATACATTGGTACCTGCAGCTTTAACTTAAAATATTTCCAGATGCAGTTGCAAGAGTACGAGGACAAGCTTCAGGAGAGCGTCGAGGACCAATTGTGCCTGGCGTCGGTGCACTACCTTCGGGCGCACTATCAAGAAGCCATAGACATTTACAAAAAGGTCCTGCTGGAGAACAGGTGACTTTTATTTTTCTTTCTTCGTTTCTCTAGCTTCTTCTTTTTTAGTTTTTATTTCTTCATTTTTCACCTCCTTCCGACAATTCATATATCATAAAAAAAAAAAAAAACGTGTACGTACTCAAAGCGCTAAAAGGACATTCAACCGCAAAACCACCGAAATGTAGATGGAGCAAAAACGGCAGTGGACGCGCGAAGAGGCGCAAATCTCCCCAGGGTGACGACGATGACAGAGAGTTTCTGAAGAAGCTCTTTAAGAATAGGTACAAACGCGTCCCTGTATACATCCTTTCGTTAATTCTACGCTATCCTCGATCCGTTATTTTTTTTTCAATTTCATTAGCGAGTGATGACTGATAAAATGTGTGAAGAAAAAAAAAAAAAGGAATTATTTCAAACGCACAGAGACTACCTCGCTCTTAACGTGTACGTGGCTCTGTGCTACTACAAGCAGGACTACTACGAGGTGGCCCAAGAGGTCCTCGAGGTCTACCTGCAAAAGTACCCGGACAGCGCCACGGCCATCAATCTGAAGGCCTGCAACCACTTTCGCAACAACAAGAGCACCACGAAAATGATCGAGATGAAGCAGCTGATCAACAAAGTCTCGAACACCAGCACCTTCGGCAACGACCTCATTCAGCACAACACGGTCGTAAGTGCCACGACATAACACCTCGCTTTCATCTTACTTTCTGTTAAATCTACACGTTTTGGCGCAAAATAGGTTTTCAGAAACGGCGAGGGTGCCCTGCAAATACTGCCGAGCCTGGTGGACGTGATACCAGAGGCCAGACTGAACCTCGTGATATACTACCTACGCCAGAACGAGACTCAGGAGGCCTACGAGCTCATCAAGAACCTGGAGCCCAGCGTGCCCCAGGAGTACGTGCTCAAAGGCATCGTATACGCGGTCGTCGGCCAGGAGCGGAATTCGGTGAGCGCGCCAGGGCATACACGATACCTGTGTAATGAGAAAAACCACAATAGAAAACTGATTGATCGGCGATACCCCTGTAGCAAGAGTTCATCAAAATAGCCCAGCAGTACTTCCAGCTGGTGGGCACCTCGGCCTCGGAGTGCGACACCGTTCCCGGCCGGCAGTGCATGGCTTCCTTCTACTTCTTGTACCGGCAGTTCAAGGACGTGCTGGTCTACCTCAACTCGATCAAAACATTCTTTTCTAACGTCGACAGCTTCAATTTCAATTACGCCCAGGCGCACTTGGCCACGGGACACTACAAGGAGGCCGAGGAGGCGTTTCTGGCGATTAGGAACGAGCGCTACCGCAACGATTTCACGTACATGAGCCTCCTGTCGTACTGCTGTAAGTGCCCTTATATCGCGTCTCTATATCTTTAGACTTTCGTGTACATGATGAGTATCGTTCCATCGCGAGCAGACATTATGAACAAGAAGGGCCAGCTGTCGTGGGAGCTCTACTTGAAAATGGAGCCATCGACGGAGTCGTTCAATCTTTTGCAGTTGATAGCCAACACTTGTTACACGGTGGGAGATTTTTGGTACGCGGCTAAGGCCTTCGATATGCTGGAGCGACTGGACCCGTCGCCCGAGCACTGGGAAGGAAAGCGCGGCGCGTGCTGCGGCACTTTCCAGTACATCGTGGCTGAGAAGTTGCCAAAGTAGAAAACACATTTGCTTAACAATTTGTTGCTTCGTTCCTTTTCAACTTATAAATCATTTTTTTTATTTTTAGAGAACTTTTGCCAGAGATAGTCAAGATTCTCAAAAATACAAACGTTTCTCAAGCCCCGCAGATCATTCGAGTGATGCGCAAGTGGGGAAAGGACAATCGAGTTTCTTGTTAATGTGGTATTCGTTTATTGGAATGTTGGTTTTCAGGAATTGTAAATAAAAAAACTTCAACGATTTTCATTATAAAATAGATATATATACGTATATATACATATATATTTGAACTGCGATGATACATTTATTTTCGATGACAAAATAATAACTATAACTGTATTATTACTAATAAACGTAATCACGATCTTTCGCAATAATCACTTAACTCTTAACAAATAAAATCGACGGAAAAAAAAACCATTCGTAATGGCGTGTGTTTGTCTCGTTAGCGAATACTCCGCACATTCTATTGGCTTTCTTTGGAGGAAACAGATCTATACTTTGAATGAACGCATATTTGTTGGAATGGCTTGCTTCCTTGACAATATATGAATAAGCAAAACAAAACAAAAAAATTACAATAGTAATGATGTTACATCATTAATATTAATATGGTAAAATGTCTACACAAAGTTTGACAGAAAATAAATTAGCGAAACGTGATTCTACCCGACGAAACATTGAAATTGTAACTTCATAGTTTTTTTTTTTTTTTAGATCTATTTAAAGTTGCAGATTTTTAAGATGAGAAGGTCCGCATACTTTAACAAAAAAGTTTGAGAGAATTATTTCGTGTTATTAGAATAGACGGTAAAGTGTCCGCTAAGTCCACGACACATCTGTATAACGTTGCGGTTAGGCGAACACTTTACGATTTTTTTTTATTATCTTTGTTCCTAATTATCCTATAGAAACGCATTGTTCTCCATTTATAATACAATATATTTCATAATCTCATTCGCATCATCCATATTACCCTCCTGTCGTCTCTATTCGTACACCTGGTGTAATGTTTCCAGGAAAAAAGTAAAGTCAACTTTCGCTTCTTCAACTTTGTCTTACGTGCGCAGGCATACATTTACAATCGCGTCAATTGAAATATCAATACACTATTTGCTTTTCCTCGATTTTCTTTGTTTAAATGCAATTATAACGTAGTGGAATATTCATAAACAACCTTTTTCTAATCAAATACGTTTGCTTAATCATTTCACCTAACTCTTACTCGTCTTTAAATTTATTATTAATTCACAATGTCTTTGCTAATTTTTGTGCTACGCTTTTGCGTTTATTTATTTTAAGTTTATGTTTTTATAATACATACAACTAAATAAAACAGCTTCTTTTGGCGATGTGCTGTCATGCTCCAAGGTTCAGTCAATTATTAATACATATTACTTCGAAAAACCAGTCAATAAGGATTGGATTAGCCGTTGTATCAAAATTTTTTTTCGAACTTATTGCTTAAAAATTTATTAGTCATGTTTATCGTGAATATACCTAACCGATTTTACTTTTATTTTTAAAAAAACGTGGCAGCATGGGCGGGATAAAACATTACCGTCTTATAAAAAAAAAAATACGATTACAGTTCAAATTTAAAAAAGTTTTTTTTTTTCAAAAACAGGCAGTCACAGTTGACCTGTCAATCAGTCGACGGACGATTGATGTACACAAACATTTAATTAACATCACTATTATTACACTCGAAAGATTCATCAGACATCGAAGAAGGGAGAGTTTGTTATACACATTATTTTTGTTTAACGGTAATTGTATACACTAACAATGACGATATAAAACTAGAGAGAACCGTATGCACAGAGTATTTATAGAACTTTTTTTTCTAAACTCATTTAATCTACTTTAGCTCTTATCAGACTTCAGTTTTTTACTGCTTTTATTTTTTTTTTCTTTTTTTTTCAATCGCGTCGTCGTCTCCTTATCGTCATTTCCACAGCACGGAGTCATAAAGCGCTTTCACAGACACTGCCCCTTCCTTTTAGAACACGCCATATTCTTCCCGGGATTTCACACTTACTTTGGGGGAAAGCAATCGAAAGCTTTTCAGCATAAGCCCTTTATTATTTTTACAGTGGCGCTTTTTTCATTTCAAACGTCGATAATTCATACACTGCTGTTGTTGAACCGTTATTTTATTAATTTTTTAATTTTATAATTCTATAAGAAAAAATTTATGACATTTCTTAATATTACTTTATTATTTATGGACTACGTTTTATGTAATAAACGAGTGAGATTAAATACAATTATCAACGCTTGAAATCAATAGTTTTCGTAAAATTTATGTTTTTATTTGTAAAGAAATTGGCAATTGATGTATGGCATAATGAATTTGTTTGTTGATTGATCAAAGTTAAAGTGGGAAAAAAATGGCTAGATGATAAAATAGTCGCTGTGGTAAAAAGTCTCAGCGGAAAAAAGAAGCGTGTCCCGAACATTGCACCGCGTTCAAACTAACATCACTAAAGTATCATTAATTACGATAGTAACAATATTAAAGGCATAATTAAATAAGAGCAACAATAATCACACTTTTATCGGACATTGTTGAAAAATTGCACAAAAATGCAATTGTCTTTTGATTGGCAGTATTCGTAATTTCTTCTGTTACTTTTTTTTTCTTTTTTACATACGATTACAAATATAGTAGGTATAAAAAAAGTGACAGAAAATCATTGCATTTATCCAAAAAACACGTAACAGTCAAGTTAAAGGAACAAGGCATCGGAAAATTGAGATTCTTCACTGCTCGGCGATTATCAAAGAAGAGAGAAAAACCACTACTAATCGTCGAACAGTGATTTCATTTGATAATTTTTTTTTGTGTCATTATACCTCGCTAGAAAAAAGCCTATTCAACTTTGAGTTACCTAAGAAACAAACGTAAAACAAAACAGATCCACAAACCTCAGAAAAGCGATAACTGTAGTCTAGTCGGTGACAATTCCGATCACATGGACACACTCGGGGGGTCAAATCACACGAGAGGCGGTCCTGGAAACGGCCGTTCAAACGAGTTCTACCCCGAATTTCACAACCCCGTGGGTCAATATAGCCACAACATCGTAGCTCACTGTCGTGTGTGAACAACAAATCACAAGACTAGAGTCTCGAGAGCCCCAACGAACAGAGAATCAAAAAAAGTTCTCGATTCGGTCTTGCCATAGCTTTGAGCAAGTCCAACCGAGTGTACGTATATACTAAGCCGACGAGAAAAAAAAAAAAAAAAAAAAAAAAAAAAAAACAATATAAAGTCGGGGAAGTGAGGAAATATGGAAAAAACACCCGTGGCATGTCGTACGTTTCTTTCGTTACGGAGAGATGGAGTGTGCTTGTGAGAGACAAGAAGGAAGGGAGTTGGGACGTGCTGTTCAGACGTAGTCCCGCTTGCTCTTCTTGGTCCTGCGGTAGCTGCGCGTCAGACTCTGCAGCGCCGCCGTGCTCAGCGCCGTTTTTGTACATGCCACGGCACTCATGTTCTAATTTCTGTCCCTGGATGAAAAAAAAATCATGTATAAAATGTGAAAAAAAAAAATTAAGACTAAACAGGATGATGCTTACCCGGGTCCAGGGTAGTAGTAGGGCGGAGGTCGCTCGTACTCGGTGCTCAATGGAGGTGCCACTGCGGTTGTCGGCTGGTACCTCGGAGGACCCCCGTTTGGAAAGTCCCAGTTCCTACAAAGAAACGCCATGGTATGTACTAGCAAACCGGAAATTTCGGAAACAATCAGCTATTCAGTTTTACATAAAACCCCGTCAATGGACGATCACAGTTGATTGTTTCATAGTGAAAAAAAAATTCTTTTTTAAAATTTTTTTAACTGATGATAAGATGTAACAAAGTGTGGAAGAAAAAAATACAATCAGTTCGACAGGACGTACTAAATCAAATAATGCACTTTTGATACAATGTGTATAATATGCTTTATAGTAGTACAAGTGTGATTGATGAATTTTTGGACCGATTTTTATTCGTTCACTCGATAATGATTCATCTTTTACTTTACTCTTACGACATTACTGATGATACACTATTGTTATAGTCATGCTTATTACGAGAGAGAGAGAGAGAGAGAGAGAGAGAGAGAGAGAGAGAAAGCCTAATAGTTAATTACTTACTATTCAAAGCTTTAGTTTGTAGCAACGATATGGTAGAATATAATATAATTATTATAATATGCATTGCATAGTATAGTGAGGCTAATCGGTAATCAGGCATATATGCGTATAGATGAGATAGATTCTATTTATGTAGGCGATGTCGTGATTGACGTGTGTAATTATGTGTGTTGTGTCTCAAGTTTGTGAATTTTTGTAGTGTAATTTAAAACATACATACGAGACGAGAACACAATACGATAAAAAAAAGGGATAACATTAAGAAAAATGTGTGTAACATATTAACAACTTTTTACTTTTTTTTTTTTTTTTTAATGTCAAAACAAATTTTTTTATTAAACGGAATCTCTTGAGAGATGTCCTTATGGGCGACTTACGTGTGTAGGCGCCGCGAGCGTCGCGAGGAGTAGCCTCCCCGCGAGGTTCCCACTCACCTGTAAATAACCGGGAAAAATACCATGTGACCAGTGTAAAATAACTGCGGTTTTTTTTTTTTTTTTTTTTTTTTTTTTTTTCTCGATTGTTCCGGTGTATAAGTATTCAGTGTTTTTATCATGACGTTTTTTATGTACTTGTATGGAGGAATAATGGTTTTTTTCGTTATAAACGTTGAATTAGTAAATCCTTGTTTTTTAAGTATATACACCAATTGAATCTCTGATTTATTCATTTTTTTTTTTGCCACATCAGTTTAAATAAATAGTGAGCTTCATGAGCTTTATGAAAAAAACAAAAAATAATGTTTATGACGAAAAATAAAATTCGAGAATCCATTCAATGAGTACAATAAGTTGAATGATAGTAAAAGTATTGACGATGAGTGGGAACCCTGGTGACTACCAGAATATAGAAAAAAAAAATAAATAAATAAAAATTAAACAAATGTAATGTAATTGGACGAAATAAGGCATGGAAGTGATAATTAGGCATTATAGTAAAAAAGCGTGACAAATCAAACGAGTGCTGTACATGTACATAATAATATATTATATATATGTGACAAATGAAAAATGAACGGAATTAGAATAAGCGGCATGTTTGGCATGTGTTGAGCATTTGATGGGGGCGGGGGGATGTTTTTAAACGTCAAGTGCGTTAAGACTTACTGTGATTTACCGAGCTCTACGCTAAATACTTTAGTGGTTTTATTTTGCTTAGCGGTAGTATTAGGTAGCGCTTTATTGCGCGCCAGCTGTCTCGAACTGCAAAGCAAAAATTCAAAAGAGACAAGAAAACCATTTTTTTGTTTATCAAAAAACTTAGTTAAATAAAAAAAAACAAATTTTAAAAAAAAAACAACGGAGTTTTCATGTTGGAATACGAGGATAGGAGGGGAAAAGTTCAGTTAAACGCCCCTCTTACGCGGTAATTTAGCGCGGCTCTCTTTTTTTCTCCTTAAAGAGAGGAGCGCATGTAATTTACCGTTAAACAGCCGTTTCGTTTCGTTAAAGTGGAGTTAAGTAGTTCTAGTAACACAACAAAACACGTTTGCAGTGAAAGTGTCTGTACACTTTTTACAAGTACACAATTGGTTTTTTTTTTTTTTTTTTTTTAAATATATTTTTACACTTTTTTTTCATTTGTTGTTTTTACTTACTAATACTCGATTCGTAAGACGGTAAATGAGCTACTTTATTATTTTTCGCAAACTTTTTTCTGAAAAGAAACAACAATGACAGTATAAAAGAGAGTTTCATCAATAATATGCGAAATTTAATAACACAAAAAAAAAAAAGAAATCCTCGTAATTAATCTAGATCCTGATGTTAAAAACATTAATATAAACGCATGTTTGGTCGGCAAAATGAGACAGTCATCACAGATAAAGATTAATAGCATTGAGCAAAAGAAAAAGAAAACAACGAAAAAACCAATGACACCAAAGAAAAGAGAAAAAAAACGAAAATTCACGCTTCCACAGCGGCGGCTCTTTAACACCGTTACATATGTATATTGTATAATGTATCACATAAGCGACAATAACACCTTTAGCCTAGTATAGGCACACAATAGATAATCACGTATAGGCGCATAAGAAATTAGGAAAGCCATCGACAGATAGTGAGATAGTATCGTGTCAGGATTTAACTTACTTGGGCGCTATATCCGAGTAGCGCGTGTCAGGGTGATGGGAGCTGCACTGGTGCCCGTCGGTTATTCGCTCCCTGTCGGTGTAACCGACCGCCGGGCCGTCGTAGCTCTCAGGATAGCCACCACCAGGGTGTCCGTGGTGTCCGTGGTGTCTGCCGTGTACGGCGTATTTTTTTTCAATGCTACAAAATAATCGAAATTGGTAACATTAATCGATTATTTCGATCGTCGCGAGGTTTTTTTTGTTGTTTTTTTTGTTTTTTTCAAGTTAGTCGTCAGATCGGTGCGTGTAATACATCTTCGTGCGGCGAAAATTCGTTGAGAGCTATGTTTATATTTTTTAATAAAACAAATAAGTGTATGTGGGTTCGTGTGCGGGTTATAAAAATGGTCCACTAATCCTAATTTGAAAAACAAAAAAAAGAAGTGAAGCGCAACATAAGTGGGTGGTGTGGATTTCAAAGCAGCTCCGTTGATTATCCATTCATCCGTAACCCGTAACGTGATTTGTTTATACAGTGAGTGTGAATGAGACAAAACAAACCAACACACAAATCGTGAAATGAGCGTGAACTTGATAAAAAAAAATTCAGATAATCTGCCAGTGTAGCGAACAATGAAAATGAAAATGAAGCGCAAAAAAAATGAAACATAATTTTTTGCATGCTTGAGTTGTTTTTTTTTGTCGAATGGCATGCTAGCGCTATGATTCCTTTTGTTTTCTTTTGCGGAGGTTTGACGTTGAGTACTTACTGAGCGAGGGGCACGTTATCCCTGTCCGCATACGCGTCATACAAATATTCGCTGGAATGGAGCGTTTTAATGTGATTTAATAAATCTCAAGAACCATTCCAGATTTTTTTTTTTTTTTTTTTTTTACTGATAAACCTATCTGCTATAGTTGAAACTTCTATGTGAAAAGTACAAAATATCTTTAGCCAAGAATGCATTTTGAATGTGGCAACGTAAAAACATTAATATTGAATTCGTTAAACTTCAACTGATGTGAAATGGCATGATGGCTCTTACTGTGGCAGAGAATAAATTTTTTGCCATATATTTTATTGGAGCCCACATAGGCGTTTTAAATAAGTATAAGTTAAAGCAAAAAAATTTAGACTTCAATAGTAAGTGCTTTAGAAGTATACGATTACATTCACAAAAAATTGAATGGATGACTCGAAAATGTTTCAAAAATCAATGCGGGAAACACTAATATTTGAAAGCACAGATGTACAACTGTTGAATTTCGTGCTTTGGAAGCAGCTGTTTTTTAAGTAACTTATTTTTAACGATACTTTACGTAATGTTAGTAAACTACCTCGTATTGTTTTCTCAAAATTTTCACAGAGCAAATGAGAATAAAATTTTCCAAAGTTACGTCATTAGAATTCATTACTTTAGAATTAAAAATCTTCCAGTCGTAGGACAAATTTATTGTTACGTGAATAATTAGTTAAAATTTTTTTAATACTTACGGATTGACTAACGGCCCAGGATAGGGATCAGATTTTTGATAGAGAGCGCTCAATTTAACGCACAGAATTATCGTGGGAATAAACAGAACCAAGCACCAACCAACGCTCACCCAAAATCCATTCTGCAAACGAAAAATATTGTGTTTAAAGTTGTTAAATTATTGCAGATAATCCGTATAGCACACTTACGAAAGGATCAAGGATTTTGTTGCAGCCAGCTACAATGGTCGCATTGTACGCATTCGATATCGGACCGCATTTACCGACTCGGGTTAGGGTACTATTTATCACATAATTCAGGTAGCCGTTGACCTGGTGGATGAAAGCCTTGCCAAATTCGGCGGCAAGCTATACAAAAAAATCAAATTAATTTTAAACACAGCACCTCGTTAAATAATGATGTAACACAAGTACCCACCATTTTAACGTATTTAGGTCCCTCCTTAGTGATAAAGTCCTGAGCTTTATCCACCTCCTTGATAAGCTTGTAAATAGCATCGGCCATTGACGAATGATTGAACTTGATGTGTTCCTGCAATTCCATGGCGGTCTCGCTCAACTGGTGGCTCAAATTCGCCATGGGGATAACGATATCCCTGTGGTAACCCTCCAAGTCGTAGGCGTTCTTTAAAAGCTCCTCCTTGATGTCGTTGTGGCTCCTCGGTAACTTTGACGCCAGATCTCTCAGTTTCTCTGCCAACTGTTGGAGATTGATGTTCGTGATGTTCTCTTTAAGATGCTCGGTATACTGATCGAAACTGATGTCGCTGAGTCCGCTATCGGCTAGAGCGTTGAGCTTCATTTTTGCCTCTTTACTAATAATTTCGTAAGTTCCGGAGAGACTAATCTTCTCCTCAAGTTTCTGGATCGTTTTGTTGATATCGTAGCGATCGGTGTAGCTACGTAGCGTGTCGACATCAATAATATACTGGAGCTTTAGTACCTTGTAGATGGTCTCGTTTTTATGGCAAGAGCTGCAATAAAAACCATACTCTCGTTTAATGCCACTATCGGTGTGAAATAAGTTTTGCGATGAACAAAAAAAAAAAAAAAAAATATATCTCACTTGAGTATGTGGCTTATGTTGATGTCGGCGTGGTCATTCTTGGGATAGAGGAGGCGCTTGACCTCGACTAGATCATTGACGAGCTCAAACATCCTATTGTCGTTGGGATTCTTCAGCGGCTCGCAAATCGCTCGCTCGCTCAGTACGCCAGTGATCATGTGCGCCACGGTTATTATCATAAGCACACTCGTCACCAAAAATATCAGCCACACAGCTCTGAAACGTTCAAACGTGATCATCATGACTTAGCATCAATTTAAAAAATTTTTTTTTATTGCAAGACGCTTACATCATGAGAAAGCAGGCACCAGTGCCCTTGTCGCAGCAGTCCTCGCCGTATCCATCGGGCCTCTTGCCACAAATTCCGCATAGCAAACCAAACACCAAACAGGTGAGAATGGTGAGAAGGATACACGAGATGGCGAGGCCGAGGTAGTATCTACCGTAAATGAGCTCACTTAGCGCAGTCTCCAGGTTCTTCGGGGTGAAAAATTCGCTCAGGGTCGATCGACTGAGCAGCATCTGGAACCTGTAATCATATCACCCGCGTTAATAAAACTTTGTACACCATAGATCGCACACTGTACGTATACATATACCTGTAAGGCGAATACTGGTTAATGTGATTCTTGACGTAATTGAGCTTGGGCACGTAGTTGCGGTCGATGTCCTGATTGATGCGCTCGATCATCTGGGCAACCTTATCGGCGACTTCGGCGAAGGATTCGCCGGCTTTCTTGATACTGGCACTGACGTCGGGTATCGTGTGATTGACCGATTGCTGGATTTCACGCTGGATGCTCATAAATTGTTGCCGACCTCGGCGCACTTCCTCGACGATACTGTCGTTCAGCAATTGGGAGATGTTGTTCAATGCCTTGGTGACATCTTGGTCGGGAAGCTGCGGGAGAATCATTGCACTATTGTGATCTTTTGTTTCTTTTTCTCTTTGCAAACATCGAGCAATGGGTATTTACAAAAGTCACAAGGTACTTCATGCGCATGATTTTTATTCTTTTGAGTAGCTCTACTAGCTACTAGTAAAATAATATAAAATTACAACAGAACTAACGACGAATAAAATTATATCGTACTAATATACATGCTTACAGCTGATAACTTACAGATTCAAGCTTTTTTTTTTTTGTTAGCAAGCATGAAACGAAAATAAATTTACAATATATGATTATGAACATGTATCACATATATTTGTTTAACATGTGTTGTAAATGAATTACTCTAACGGAAAAAAAATATCAAATTGCATCGATCATTAGCAATATAATAAAAACAGCCTTGATTAATAGATGCTTCAGCACATCTGTAATGAACAAAAAAATCTCGCAAGAAAAAAAATATGGCAGCAAGTTTGCACAGATTAGCGATATACATATATCGAGCTCATACGAAAGGATACCTGAGAGTTAACAAGTGTATACGACCTATATATATATATGTACCTTGGGAAAGTATCGGTCCAAGTACTGCGTTGAAAAGAAAAAAAAGAAAGAAAAAAAAAATAAGACAACCATGTTACTTCATGTATGACGATGAAATTAGCATAATGTACACAATGTTGTGACACAGTTTAGATGATTTTGGGTTGGGAATGGTTAAAAAAAAAAAAAAAAAAAAAAAAAAAAAAAGTTCTTTTTTTGGTTTCCTACCTTGTCGAACTCGGCCTCCACCTTCATCTGATTAATTTTGTACTTTTGCACGGCGTCCTTGCACTCCGGGGTAACGCAAGTGTTGAGCGTCTTGAGCAAACTACCTTTGACCCTCCGGACAACTATGCATCATTGGCAATCAGTCAAAATTTGATTGCAATAAAACAACTCGATCGTACATGACGGAGTACTCACAGATATCGAGTCGCGAGGCATTGTTCCTGAGATTCCTGGTGATCTCGTTGATGGACTTGAGGTCCTTGCTTATGCTCCCGAGCCCCGAGACTATGACGTCCAAGTTCATAAGCGACACGGCGTTGGAATACTCAGCTAGCTGCTCCGTCACTATTTTACCGCTCGCCTGCAGGATGTTGTTGAGGGCGAGCTCCAGCTCGTGGTAGTTGTCCTTCAGCAGTGTGTCGATTTCGCCCCTACGTGCAACACGATACATATTCTATCGTTATTACTTGGGTGGGAGACGAGGAAGAAAAAAAAAAGGGGAGGGGCTGACCTGGTGGTCCTCAGGTAGAGCTTGACGTCCTGTAGACTGACGTTGGCCGACTCTGGTAGTTCCCTGGTGCCGTCCTGCATGTACTCGTTGGTGACGAAGGCGCAAACGACCCCGAAGAGTATGCAGGTGGAGGCGCCGATGAGCAAGCTGCTGAAGAATATCTTGCGGCAGTGGTCGTGTTTCTTGTCGAAGGGCTCGCTACGGGCGCCGCACCGGCCGACGCACCGGCAGCAGCAGAAGAACAAACCGACGCACGGGAGCACGGCCGCGAGCAGGACGCCGGCCAGGGCGAGGCCAGTTATGCCGCCGTAGTGCGTCAGGATGATGCGCCACTCCGTCCTCGGGTCCGCGAACTTTGGCGCCTTTTCCGCGTCCAGCCGGATCATACCTGAAAATTATCGTGTGATGTTTTTCATGCTTTTTAATATTAAGACTATGTATAAACTGCAAAAACTTAAAAATACATCTTGGAATCCTAGAATCCTCGGTTCCGAGTAACTATAATCTCTTGGAACAGGATACTTTCTCTTGCTTTGAGAAAATATTTTGTTAGTGTGCTAAAAATATCATCTTGTTTTGGACAGAATAGATAAAACATATTCTTGACTGTAATGGTGCCATTATTTATATACAGACGAGCGTGTAATGTAACGATACCGGGTCACAAAATCGTCCCTTATGAAGCCAGAATTGTAATGAAAAAAAAAAAAAAAAAACTTTCTACAGCTTAGAGGTATTTAAAATAGTTGACCGGGATTAACCCATTTTTTCACTTCCCTCTGCGTACGATACCTTTGGAGGATGGAGGTGTTGTCTACGTATAGCTTCCCCAAGAGGATCCTCGCGTTTTCTCCGCATTGGGAGGAGGTATGTAAAATTAGAACCGCGCCCGTTTCCATTGTAGAAAAAAAAAAGGGGAGAAACAAGCAAAGCAAAAACGAGAAAAATACACGCGGTGCTTCTTGGCCCTTTTCTTAAGCTGCTGAGCCTCAGTCGTCGGCCGTTTCTTTCAATTGAGCGGCGAATTGTCGCGAGCGAATGAAAACGTGACGCAAAAAAGCAACAGCCCAACGTCCCGTGAAACCCTATATATATCCATGCACATCACAGCCAGGGAGAGAGAGAAAATAGCGGCACCAAACATCTTTTTTTTTTTTTCTTTTTTTTTTTCGTCACCAAATACTCCATATCTATATGTTGTAAATATATACGGTAAACGGTATACACTTGATACGAGTAATACATATATGTCTTGTACAAATAACTCTGGTTTTGTTTTTATATAGTCCCCCTCTCCCCTGCCCCTGCCCCGTAGGCACGCACTAGCGGTAATCGCGAGTTGCTCCAGAAACGAAAGGCAGAGGTTTTAAGCCGATGCTTAATCAAATCAGAGATTGTATCTCTATTCGATGGCTGAGGGAGTTTTTTATACTCTAAATACTCGTTTGTCAAAGTCTCGCCAACAGTGTAAAGAGGGGGATAATGCAAAATCCGAGTGACCCCGATCTCTGAAAATCATCATCGCCATGTCCACCGATATACATATTACTCGTCACATACAATATTGTACGATATGGCACGTGCTCCATAGAAATACGCACCAAGTGATGGTATAGAGCGATCAAAGAGGAGAGTCCACTTGCGCGGTGATTAAAACAAATCGCAGTGATACCTATATGTATACACGTCCCAATGGGGAGCAGCATTTATAAATATTATATGCTCGAGAAAAATGTATTGTGCTCGCAATAGTTAATTCACGAACGAAAAAACACAAAGATCCCCTGTTTCATAATTGTGTCGGAGAGAAAGAGGGACGGCTCCTCCTCCAAGCAATTACACCGAGTCTTTTTACGTCACATCTCTCTGCCGAAAAAGAAATAATGGCTCGCGCGCGAAATTTTACACCCATTACATTTTACTTACGTCTGATGTAACTATATAACTAAGTATACTAATGCGCAAGACCGCCCGCCAGTGTTTTTCGCCGAGTCCATGTTCTGGATATATATATATATATGTATGCTTTGTAAGTGGTTGTGCGGGTCTAGGGAGGCAAAAGTTTGTATATAACACGAGCGCGAGAGGAGGAACGAAGGTTGTTTTTTTTTTTTTTCTTGCTTCTGAAATCCTCTCGAGCCAAACGTTGTGTACAGGTACAGGTGCGCAAAAACCGACGAACGGAAAAACGGACGGGAGAGCGAAACTCATATACCTATACACCGGAGGGAATAACGTTTGAAGATTGAAAAACGGGGGCGTCGGACGTGACGGGAGCAGATAAGGGCAATTGAGTTCTCTCTCTCTGTTCTATATTGTATCTCGCGCGTGTAGGTATACACACAAAGGGAAACTGTACGACCCACGCTCGCGCGTCCAATTGTCCCTATCCGTATATATGTATAAAATAATGTATATACTCTATGATTTTGTTTGTCTGTTTCATTAACAAAGTGCTCTTTTGGTGCGTTGACTTTTCGCGTAGTTGTCTTACGTGTGCACCTATATACAATCTCATAGGTGTATATTTACAACCAGTAAAAAACACAAGGCCGAGAGTTATTAATTTTATAGTATACATAATATTATGATTATTAGCGAGCAGCACTTGGTAAGGGATATCCGCGTCAGCGAGCGATCCCAAAGTCAATGCCGCTGTGACTTCCTCGTTCAACTCTATATACTTATATAATTCTATCTCTATTTACTTGCGCTTTGCGCGGGTACATGTAAAAAATTCCACTCACGATACGGTTCACGGTACCACCCGTGAGATATACACACGTACGCGTATTTTTTTTAATTTTATTTATCTGTCATATGGTTTGTCGCCCAGAGTTGCGTAAATGACCGATTGGGTTTCGATTTGCCGAGTTTGCGGTTCGTTGAAGCGCGTGTAATGCATGTTGTTGGCGAGGTGTATAAGAACAATGCTAATATCTATATAGTGTCGTGTCTAAGTTGCCGGTGAGCGTCAATTTCGATTTCGGAGGCACTTGTTTTATACAATTTACACGCCATATATTCCCAGCAATGACATCGTTGCGGAGGGCAACGTGTATATTAATGGATTAATAAATCCCTGCAGGTAAAAAAAAAAAAAAAAAAAAAGTGTGTCCACAGTTTTTCCGTAATACAACGCACAGCGGAGGTGACACTTTTGCTATTTTTCAATATATCGTGTTCACGTCCCATACGTATGTGTACACACAATTTTTTCATAACAATAACTCTCTCTACACGTATATCAAAAATTCGTTGTTATCTCGTTTGTTTGTTGGTTTTTTTTCCTCCTCTCCTCTGTTGAGGGGCGATAAAAATAATCCTCAAGATAATACCAAACCTCGTGTTTGTATGCAAACAGTTATATAATTTTACAAAAATTCTTTCCACCCCCTGTCAGGGTCGTCTTTGTATCAACAACATCTCATACATCTCGCAGAATTTTCGTTTCCTTTATTTGTTATAACATATACAGGTATATGCTTCAGCAAACCCAAGATACATGTATCTTCACACACCGCAAAGACGTCGTTTCTACGTACACATATATGTAAACGTTATCCGACACCCGCACCAACGGCCGGACGGCGACGACACAAGGTTCGTCGAAACATTTTCCAAATATCCCCCCGCCTCCTTCTTCGTCCCTTATCATGGATAAAAAAATCCATTCATTTGCAAACATCATAACCACCATCGCCCCCCCCCCTATCTTTTCTCTCTAATAAACACAATCGGAGCTGCTGCAGCATGTTGCATCACGTGCATGTATAATATGCTGTGTATCATTACTCCTATTACACGGAGCGAGATCTCTATATATATATACTGTATAGCTAATCGAGGGAGGGAAGATATAATCATACGCCATGTGAAAGTATATATATATATAAATATGAGCCGCTTCTTCGATGTGTGTGCAGGGGCGAGAGAGAGGAAAATAAAGGAAGGACTGGCGATGGTGATGGTTACCCCGACCAACAACCGGATACTAGATAACGCGCTGATATGATATAGCGCGCGTGATAATAATAATGAATTTTATGTACACAAGATCTATATAATCGAGTATATGGAGGTACACGTATTATATTATTTATGTATACTATGTTTGTTAAAAAGAACCGCTTCTTTGGCTTTTTTTTTTCTTCATTTACTTAAAGCATTTGGGAGGCTTATAATTGAGAAGAAAAAAAAAAAAAAAAAGGTATGTATACATATCTCGCAGGATTTCGTTGTTGAAGTTGTTTTTATTTCGTATTCGGATGAGGGGGGGGGGAGGGGGAAACAGTTAAAAGTAATAAACGTCTTGGGAAACGCGCTGCTGGTGCAGACGATTAAGTATCTCTCCGTGTGATGTTTCGTTGCAGAGGTGTATACATTTATATATATCTTAATACCAGGGATGCTGTATATTCGCGAGGGCTCTCTCTCGTTGGAGATTTCGATGGAAAAAGAGACGCGCCGACGAAAAGAGAGTTTGTCGCATAGCGAATACGGGGTAAACAAGCAAGTGCCTCGCCTGTTGTGTTGTATACATTATACACATATAGGGGGTGCACCACCTCGTTAGAAACGTAGGGGAGGAGGAGGAAAACTGTTGTGCTCAGTTGAAGGAACAGCGTCGAGGGGGAGAAAACTCGGATAGGAAATTAGGGTAAAAGCGTGGGCGAAAAAAGACTTTGCCAGCCAGAAAATGAATAAAACGGGACCGAGTGTGCTCGCACATATATCTTATGTGTGGATGCCGAAAGAATGGATTTAAAGCGAGAGGGAGAGAGAAAGTGATGGATGACGATGAAAACAAGATTCCGGGCTACAGACCGCATATATATACATACCTTATATATACTTACTGGTAGTCTATAATTCCGTACTATTGTTTGTTCTCAGTGCATGTAATTCACACTATTTTCACCTCTATAGCCCTTAGAGGGGAAACATTTTTGTTCCTTTCCTATTGGGTTATTGGAGAAAAAAAAAAGGATCGTCAATTTTTTAAAAATCCAAACGTGATAATATTCGCATGAAAGGAGGAAAAAAAAGGGTGCAGCCGAGTATCGCGATAATAACGGTGCAGTATGAAGGGCACCCCCTACGTATATGTAAAAAAAGGGGAAAAAGCGCGTGCGTGTGCGCTATCGCAAAATCAGAGACGTATTCGCACGCGTGTATACATTTATATAATATATGTATGCTACATCGGCTACATAGGTATATTATAGCCTGTAGGTAATACCGCCTGCATCATGAAATATTACATACTACGAGCAACTTTGCCCGCACGCGAGTCCGGAAGTGAATCAGCGAACATCATCATCAGGATCTTTGATGAGTTTTTTTTTTTTTTTTTTTTTTCGCTTCAACCCCTTAGTCTTTTGTTTA